CTCTCCTCTCCTCTCCTCTCCTCTCCTCTCCTCTCCTCTCCTCTCCTCTCCTCTTCCCTCATTTTCAGAAAGCAACCTTCTGGATGCTTACTTCCATCTATAAGAAAGCCTCACACAGGAAGGAAAGACACAGTCTTTGCTGCCGAGCTTGTAACCCACTTGTTTTTTACTCATTAAAAACCACAGTGGTGATGCTGAATAACAGAAGAATATATAATCTACTGCCAAATTAACAGTAATTAGTTCCTATTATACAGGGCATAGATTATGCAATTTCACTGCTGTTGTGTTTATGTGGCAAAAGTATTAAGCAAATGGCCATTTTGACTGCAGACTTCTCATCTCTACAGACGGCAGCTCCTATATGAGGTTGGAAATCTGCTACATTTACATCGAGCAATCTGCTGCTGCAATTCACTTCTGCTAAACACTGCTTTGGTTATATCAGCACTTTCAAGAAATTTCACAGAGTGAGTTCAACAACAGAACAGTTCTTATTACTGGGGCACCTACACAAAATTTAGATAGTACAAGGGGGTGGAGGAGAATATGTAAAAGCAGATTTATGGCATTGCTTTGGTGCCAGAGCTGCAGCAGTACATTTCCTTAAAAATAGCGAGAAAAATGACTACCCAACGTGTTGCAGGCAGAGTTATCTAGACTTCATTTGGCTACCCAGAGTTTTCTTATTCTGCTTAGTAAATTGTCTTACTCCTTAGGCCATGTATGCCCTTTTTTTTTTCTCACAGAAAGAGTTAAGAAAAAGCAACTACCAAAAATCGTATTACTTTTTTTTCACCTTTTTTATATTATTATTAAAGAAATGCAACACAGCTTCTTATACCCAGATTGACAGGCAATTTGCTATTCCAAAGATATAAATCTAAAAGAAAAGTTGTCATCAGGCAGCAGATTTTTTTCTGGAAACAAATGGCCTGAAACCAGGATGAAAAGAAACATGTAGGTGAATAAATCTCACTGGGAGAGCATTAAAGGTGGTCTGCAAGTGTCTTAGTYTGAAAAAGGAGGCAGATCTGAAGCTGCATTGTAAAAACTCTATTTGAATTTTCTAACCTAGGGAAAATTCACTACAGACATTCCCACTGGCTTTAGCAATATTGGGAACCTTATTGAGAACAACATTGCTGCAGAGGCAGCTGTTTTCGGTACTGTGCCAATTAAAATTACTCAGGCTGATGGTATTAAATACTGGCAGGCACACAAGTGCTAGCAATAAGAAGAAATAAAAAATTGGATGGTGTAAGCTCAGGAAGCCTTAGAAAGCCTCAGAAACCGAGTGTCTCTGTAAATTAAGCCTTTAAAGGACAGTAGTTGCTCTTTTTAGAAAGGCACCTGAGGCTGCTATATTATTTGCTTGACAAATTGCAGCATATTCTGTTATCATTTCTTTGTGCTCAAAGATATTAAAGCATCTGAAAAAATGAGATGGGAAAGACCATGTAAAGAGTTTTGGAGACTATGCTGTGTATAAAGAGCATCTAGGGGTAAAATCCTAATCCAGTTGGTGCTATGGTAATTGTAGCATCTGCTGTTTAAAAACAAAGAACCACAGTAAGTGATTTTCCTGAAAAAGAAAAATGATACTGCATCTCCTCTTTGAAAGAGTCAGATGTCTTCTGATGCTGTTTTTGAAACTGAAACAGGAGGTATTGAAAAAAAAAAACCTGTAATTCTATTTAAGTTAAACCCTATAATAAAATATCAAGATTCCAAAGTTAAATAATGTATCTAGAAAATGCCAGAATTAAAACCGTTTGTGTGCATGAACTATAATTCAGTCTTTTAGCATCAGTCCCTACCCTCTTTCAGTACACGCAGAATGCACAATGCTGAATTAAGCATGGATATCTAATACTGCTTGTTCTCTGTTCATTGGTGCCTCGTTGCTTTTCTGTGTGCTTACATTAATTTATTTTAGCAGCACTGCCATGAGGTGCAGGGTTGCTTGTACTTCTGAAACAGCAACAATAAAGAAAAACTACTCATCAGTTCTAGGTTCCTTGACTTTCTGAATCTTAAGCATTATCAAGTATGTAGAAAATATACTGTYGATGTAGAAAATACAGTGTAAACTGCCTGTTGACTTTAGTTTTAATACTAAGCCACACTAAAGCAGACCCCTGCATATGAAGACAGGCACTGGGAAAACACAACTTGCTATTGTTTGCCTTGCTATTGCCCCAACCCTATTAAAAATCCAATTCAAGCCATTTGGCACATAACATTACCTAGAAAAAATTGGCAAATAGAATTTAGAGGTTTTAGGAGTCAGTATTCTCTAGAAAACACTCAGCAGTCTTAGTCATGATTGTACTCTTTCTCTTCATATTTTTTTTCCCAAATTCTTTCCAATTTTCCCAGAAATGACACAGGGATTAGGCAGAAMACAGACACAGAAAATGCACAGCTCTGCTCCAAATCAGCAAGTCTCTTGTGTCCCCTGCAAACCAACACGTTTCAGCACTAGTGTGGGGACAAAGCAGGAAGTCTCTGGTTACCCTTCAGTTATGCATTAAAGGTATGAATTTAAGCTGCATGGGCAACTCAAACTGTGTGCTGAATTTTGCAAACTCAGTGTGACTACATGTAACCTAGAAACTTCTTGATGAGAGATCAAAGCTAGGAGAGGCCTCGGTCTCTTAAACAGCCATTTTTACACCTGTTAGTACCGTATTTCTTCTCTAGCCCTTTATTTCTCTCTTGTACGTGTATGCCCGTGCATTTGCAGGCCTGACTGTAGTCCCCATTCCCTCTTCCCAGCACAAGTTGAGGCTTATTTCTCCTTTGTTACATTTTGATAGAAAGTACTTGCTGTCGACCCTGAGGCACAGCCATCTTTTTGCATGCTGGAAGCAGCATTAAAAGGAGAACAAAAAGCCCAACGCACASTTGAGGGGCAAGAGGGAAGGAGCTGTGGGCAGAGGGGTTTCCTTCTCCAAGCGCATCAATGGGAAGCATCCGCTAAAGCGCCGCAGGCCTTTAAGAAACTGGAAAGGTCTTTAAGACACAAGGCTGCTCCAAGCACCAAGAGCGCAGGTCACGGGTGTGGAAGAAGGTGCAGGGTGGAAGYGGGTCTCAGGTCCAAGCTCCTGCTCCAGCCAGGGCAGGCGGCTTGGGGCTGCCTCCGGACAGCACTGGGATACGTCCCTGGAAGGAGCCACACAGCGTCTTTGTGAACACTTCCCTACGCCCAGCCCCAACCCCTGTTTCCATTTGCACTGGCTGTCTCTTAGCCTCCCACCAGGTCCTGCTGTGAAGATCATCTACAGATCTGTCATCTTCTTAAGGAGCTACTCGTCGGTCCTGGGGACTACAGCTAAGGCCCCCAGRGCTATCTCCTCTCCAGCCCTGGCACCTCGGCCACCCCGGAAGGCGCCGCCTGTCAGCGGTGCGTCCCCCGAGCAGGGTACAGCCCCCAGACCCGGTCCCGCACCCACGCGGGGGGCGCCGCTGTCCCGCCTCGCCGCCCTCAGCTCCCGAGCCCAGCCTCGAACCCACGGCTCTCCGAGCAGCCGCGGGGGCGGCCCCCGCGGGGGGGCGGCGCCCGTTGCGGCTAGTGACGGGCGCCGCAGCCAATGGCGAGGAGCGGACGGCGGAGGCGGGGCCAGCCGCGGGGGCGGGGCCGGCGGGTCCCTCCCGGGCTGCGCTGACGGCTCCGCTCGGGGAAGTTCAGTTTCGGATGCGGGCGCGGGCGGCCGTTGGGCGCGAGGCGGCCGTTGGGCTGGCAGGTAGAGCCGGCGCGGGGCGGCCGCGGGCGCCGTGCGGGGGGCAGCCGGGGCAGCCGCTCGCCCCGTCCCGTGGCGGGGCTCGGGGGCAGCCGCCCCTTCCCTCGCTCCGTCCCTCGCTCCGTCCCTCGCGGCTCCGGCGGCGGCAGCGCCCGCTGGCGGCGGGGGCGGCCGGGCGGGCGGCCGCAGGGCCGGGGCGGCGGCGGGGCGGGCTCCTGGGGCCGGCGCGGGCCCCGCGGCCGCGGCGCCTTCCCTCGCGGGGCTCCCGCTTCCTGCCCTCATCTGCGAGCGCCGGGGAGACCTCCCTCTTTCTTCTTTCTCTTTTTTTTTTCCCAAGAAAACTGCGGGTTTTTGTGAGTCACTTTCCCACGCAGTAGCTGAACGGCTCTAGCCTGCGCTCTTGGTGTGAATGCTGGGGGAGGAAGGAAAGAATTCGGGCTCTTTCTGGTTTGTTTCTTTTCTTTTTTMTTTTTATTTTTTTTTCCTCTTATCTGTCTGTTATTTTTTGTTTGTTTGTTTTTCTCTTCCTGGAGCACCGCTCTTCATTCTCTTCGTTCTGCAAAATTTTCTTTCCTCTTTTTCAGTTGCAAGATAGCAACTGCAGGCAAAAATTAACTGCCTGGCTCTCTGCGCTGAAGCTGCCTTTTCAGTGATTTCTGTAGGGGTGCAAATGAGGAAGATTATCCTTCCTAAGTTCCTAACTTCTTGCTTGCTCTTCAGGATTAAAAAAGGAAATGTATATATCAGGGTGGCATCCTATTTATGTTCCTTATCTGTTCTTTTATTATGTGGCCTGCCTTTCAAGATGTGATGACTTGGCTTCTGGATGAGCATCACGCACTAAGCTCTTTAAACAATTGGAGCCGTTATTTATAAATTTGAGCGCGAGTCCAAAGCTCTTTTCCTATCATTGTTCTTCTGTGAGGCTTTGATTACAACGCTGCAAAGTGTCACCGAGCAGCCGTAAACGCTGTGGTACCAGTTTTAGGGCAGCATTTTTCCGCAGATCCTACTGGGTTGAAGTTAATCCCTCTTGAAGTTAATAGTATTGTGCATGCATGTGTATGGCTAGAATGGGCTTAAGGGAGGTTACTCTATAAATCATCTCTGATTGACATAAAAGGATTTGGTTTGGGGTTTTCTCATCTGAATGATTATAATGTCCAGAAACAGCTCCTGAAATGAAAGCACTGGGAAGGAACATGTAATAGGCAAGTAAGGAGTAAACTTAGGTTGCAATGCTTTGATACTGGTAACAGATAGCAAACAATTCAATTGGGACATTCTTTTTCTTCCTGTAAAGCTGTCTAAGACCCATTTTTAATTAAAACCATGTAATTTATGGCTTCATTTGTCAGTGATGTATAGTACTTCCCTTGGCTTTACTGCYGTATTTTCCTTTCTGCTAGCATGTGTGCTACCAGAGCGTTAGAAAAAAGCACTCTGCAAACTTGCCCGTCGGCAAATTCTGAGCAACTCGYGTTTCCAGGCGTGGAGCCTTTCAAATGGCAAATTACTGCTTTCACAGGAAAAAATAGCTAAGAAACCTACATCCTTTGGGCATGTTACTTTTAAGTCTCAAACAGGGATAAAGTCAATGCTTCTGCTAACCTACAGAGGCAGCCAGCTCCAGCTTGGAAGTCCGTTTTGTGCYGCTCTGTGTTACTTAGTAATGGCCCCAAAGGGTGTTGGGCTGAAGTGCCTGCTCCGCTAGCTGCTCTCCTCCCTCCCAAGCAGTTTCTATTTCTGCTTGCTGTGCCGCTTTCTGGCATTGCCCCTCACAGCGATCAGTTGAGCTGTTCTCTCTTGCTTGAATTTCAGCTTTCTGCTGAGCTTGACCCTCTTGGAGCTTAGAATAGGACCTTCCTTTCCTGCTTTTTGGAGGTTATGGATCTCTGGGTTTATCAACAGTATGCATCTGTGGCAGACAAGCTTGTTTTGTAATGAGCTCATTGGAACACTCCAAGACCATGAAAACTGTGCAAGTTCTGCACATCATTGTATTGAAAGTGGAAAAGAGGGAGTTCAAACTTCTTGGTGATCTGAGCCACGCGGATTAGGCTAATAGAGCCCCTTACTTTGGAAATCTACCTTTTGCTCCAGCTGAAGGGGTGGCCCGAAAAGTAATTGTGCTGTAGCCTTCATTCCGCCTGGCCTCAATCAGCGAGGCTGGGTGAGGGCAAAGCACGGGCATTTCCTACCTCCTCCTCTCGGGACATACACTTGCGGGTGGAGAACGTGGCTGACAGGGCTGATCTCAGCTGAAATGTGACTGCCAATTTAATTCCAGGCTCTCTTACAGGTAAAGAAGACAGTGTGCTGCTATCCAGCTGTGATAGTGGATCTCGTTTTGCTAGTGTTTAAGGCTTATTGGAATTGAAGGTAACTTGTGATTTTTATTTTAATACCAGAACATGCACTGTAGGAACTTAGTAAATATGTGAAGTTTGGCACTCTGTTTCTCTAAATAAGATAAGTTTACATGGCTTAACTTGGCAATTCTCTAGGATTGCATAGGAAAGTGTATTAATGATATAGTAAGTATTATGATTGGTAAGCAGTTGCTTAAATTGCCAATTATATAACTTCTGTGTGAAAGCAACTTTACCAGGGAGTGACTTCTTGTGCAAAATTCCCTGGGTCTTTGGGTTGTGTCCCATGTGAAAGCCATATCGAGAGAGTATGGATTAGTTATTGTTGGGTAATGCCACAATGGCTATTCTGCTTGCTTAGTGAAATGTGAAAAGCAAGTGCTCCGTGGCATATGAGATTATAGAGCTGCACGAACTGCAAATGGGAACACAGGCTGTAGGAACACAGGCTTGTTCATTTTACAACCCTTAAAAAGTCATTTTTTGCAGTAGTGGCTGATGTTTCTAGTGAAGYTCTGCAAAACACTACGTTACACCACCTCCCAAGTGCCGCTGCGTGCCCAGCAAGCTGTGTAGGCACTGCTGACAAAATACTTAGCATTGTAATTTCAGCTTTCAGCCCATGACTGATCTGTGCTTGTGTTCTCCATGTAGTGCCTTGCATTTGACATGTTGCTTCCTGAAAGTTGTGGTGGTGTTTTTTTGGTGTTGTTTCTATCTGTTTTTGGAAGATAAAACAGAAACAAAAGCAGAACAAATTGATGCAAGTACAACTTAAAAGCCTCAAAACACCTCCATCCTCCAAATCCTGTTTCCATTCCCTCAAAATTCTCTCTACCTCATTGCCTTCAACATTCCTGTACTTAACTGGCGCTTAATTTTTATTACAAGAGTAAGTATTACGAGATTCTGCTTGGTGCCTGAGTTCCAGAATGAGCTGTTTAGAAGGTCTCACTTCTCTCAAGTTGGCCCCTGTCATCCAAACTGATGGGCTGGCTGTGAATATTTGCTGAAGCAAGCAGTTTCTTGGTTTGGGTTACCTTTATTTATTTTTTGTCTTAATGGCTGTGATAGGTTACTACTGCCGTTCATCTGTCTGTAGTAGCAGCTTGGTTCTTCCTTGGTTCCACCTTGCTGTGGAGGAACACGGCAGGAGGAGCTTCTCTATGAAACTGGGCCCTCCTCTGTCAAATTCCAGGGGGTAAAGCTTTGTCAGACTCCACGGGGTTAGTTGAGAAGTGTGTTTGACTTTAAAGGAGGTCCCAGTTTGGTGGCTTTGGAAAGACTTGATATAATATCTACCAGAGCACTTCTTAGTCTTTGATTGTGATACCTCACTGCCCACTCCCTGATCCTTCCTGAAGGAGGTGATGCATTTTGCCTTTAATTACCCAGCTGTTATTAACTTATACAGCCCGAGTGCTATGTAAGGCTGCCTAAAAAGCAGCACAATAGGGTTAGCCAAGGACAGTGTAAAGAGGCCTGTGAGTTGCTTTGCTGCTCCAGCTTTGAGTCTTTTCTTCTGCCTCTGACATTGTCTATGTGGCTTTCTGTTTGCAAAGCCCTGGTTCTAGAGAAACATTTGCTAGAAAAAGCTGTCCAGCTACCAGAAAATAAAAATAGACTCTGAAAAAAAGTTGGATTTGAAAGATCAGTTTCAACTTAAAATTACTTGCACTGATGACAAAGCAGAGTTTAACCAAATATTTATTATTGAAATTACTCTGTAATTAGTAGTGTTGTACAGCTAAATGTAACACCGAATCTTACTGTAAATTGCTGCTATCTCTTTACTGTGGCTTGAAAAGTATAGAGTACAACTGTGGTATTCTTTTTAGTGGCCTGGATAAGAATTTGACTACAACATTTTAAGAACATACTTTGTGTTTTTAATAACGTTCTTCAGTGTATATTTAAAATGCGTGATGTGATCTCTTACCACGATGGAAAATTAGAATAGCTTTTTCAAATGTAAAATACTCTTATCCTGTGTTTGGGATTTAAAAATATATATTCTTATTGCTTTGAATTGGTAATAGGCAGAGCTTTGACTTGTGACTGTCTGATTCAGCAGGTTTCCTACTACCTCAGGAAAAACAAAGCAAAATTAAAATTTGATTAAAAAATAGGTACTTGGATCCACATTTATTTTAAAAAAATCTCTGTTGCTTCCAGTTACTCACAAGAGCAAGGATTCTTCAGTAAACATTTTGAAATATACTGAATATACCCTGCAGATATGAAAAACAATGTAATCTCCATTGAGTTTCATATTTCAATTTTAGATCTGAAAACTCATGTTCAATTTCCAGGACAGTATTTTGGACCTTATTTGTAAGGTAACTGTATTTTCTGCTGCTTCCGAGGTTGTTTCTAGTAAGCTTCCCAGAAATTTACTTTTGTCTTTATATAACCTGTTCTCTTTCCCTCTTGTGAAGGTGCAAAGTAATAAGCCTACCTATTAGGCTTCTGCGGGAAGCCTTGTTCCTTTTGTTTTGATAGCTTTTGGGGTGCCTTTCCTGGTAGCGTGCTGCTGGAGCATGCATCTGAAGCAAACCCAACATTTGTAAAAGAGACACCAAAAACGTGTTAGAATAAGGTTTATGCTTATGTCCGTGCTTGGTATTAAGGCTGCTTTTTGCGCTCTCCGGTCAGTGCTTTGGTATTGAAGTAATCTTTGACAAGAGGTTAGCAACTTAGTGATCCATTGCAGCTGCTCTGATCAAGCCTAGGATTACTGCAAATCAGTGCTCTTGCTTTCTCTGCAACCCAAATTGCAAATTAGTCTTAAACCTATTTTTGACTTCTAATTCCTCACATTAACTATCATTTTACATATGTGGACTCGCTTTCACTGTATACTTTCTCCTTTCTTTGTGTGCCCGATGTGTCTTATGGCAAAGAATTTTTTAGAGGTATTTGAGATCGATAAGCTTGTAGGTATTTCTGGTTTTCTTGCTTGTTTGTTTGCTTTCCTGTCTTGAATATGGGATTTGTTTACATTATGGGGCCATTGTAACTTTTTCAAGTGTGTTGGAATGCTTTCATTTATGTGCGGAAAGCAAACATTTCTGTAGACTGAAATCCATACTCTGTCTTTGTAATTCAATTCAGCAGAAAAGGTAAAAGACTTGACCACATTAAAACATTAAGACTTTTTTTTAGAGATACCATTTTTGGTATCTCTATTTCATTTTGGAAGGTACTGATGTTAATTCATTTCCTTGGAATACTTGCAAAATAGAATGATAGAGAACAGACTGAATACTTGAAGTATAATTAGAAGAAAAGTATGGAAAAAAAGAAAGGGGGAAAAAACCTTTTATGATATTACCAATACACAGACATTTCAGGAAAAATGTAAGTGAATTTGGCAGTATTTTTCACTGTAGTGTTACCTTGTGGGTGAGAAAACTCTAGGAGAAAAATGGTTTTTTTTTTCTGTAAAAATGCTCCATTTAAAAAAAAACACTGGCAGATGGGTCTATCTCAAAAACTTTATCCAAAAGCAAAATGAAATCGTATGAAACATGGTAGCAGACAAAGCTCTGAACAGAGGAAAGTATGAGTGTGATATACCAAGTTCATTTTAAGAATACCAAATTATCTTTATTATTCATGGTATAGAGTTTTTTGAATTATAGGACCTGAAGATGTTGAAGCCAAACAATTATTTCCTCTTTTCTTCCTTCCACAGTGCACCGCTGTCAATGGTTTTGGCAAAGGTAGTAAAAAAATATGCTTGACAGATTTTTATTTTTTTTCTCTTCAAATTTTACGATTCTATTTGTGTATTTACCTTAAAGAATACATTTCTACAGTTGTTAAATTTGGCATATTCTAAGTGTGTTTTTATGTTCCTAAGATAACTAATGACAATGATAACTGCTCATACACTGATTATTCTAGCAAATATCTGGACAACACAGAACAAATAGTATCCTTTGGGGTGTACTTATGTGACTTCTGGTTATGTGGAGAAAAAAAAGTAAAAAGGGTTTTCTTTTTGAAGAAAACTTTTTTTCTGGTTAATTCTTTTCATTACTGAAGCTTTTTTGGTGACTGAAGCTTTGTTTTAGGTAGCCTGGGTAGTAAGTGCGGATCACGTAATTGTGATGGCAAGCAAAGTTAAAGGAAAATAATCTGGTCATATTTTCAGAAATCCTATTCAATGCAACTTTATTATTCTGTTGTTTTATGCTAAGAATAACTCTAAACAAAGCTAAGGATGAATTCAAAACCCACTAGAATTGTTAAAGCTGTTCCTAGTCATTGTTCTTGAAAAATCCTTTTAATTTTTGAGTTCCATTTAGAGGCTCAAGATTTCAGAAGGTTTTTGATTATTTGGAGAAAACTTTATGAAATAAATCATCTAGCTACAAGGGAGAGCCCATCCTGTAATTTGGTGTGAATATAAACCTAAAATAAGAAAGTTCATAAACATGGTATTTGTTGTGGGCCACCAGTAAGAGGTGGGTAATTAATACATTTAAGAATGCAGAGAACATCTCATAGAAGAATAAATATAGAAGAAGCTTATAGAAAATAAATGGGGCTTTTTACAGCCATTTTCTTTTCATATGTTCACATTGAGAGTGAAATCTCTGCTCTGACCACACTCTTCTGGTATCGGTTATTGGTGACCATTTGATTAACTGCCACCTTGAAGGGGGAAACTGCTATGTTTTGGGCAATCGTGGAAATCAGAACAGAGCTGCAGTGCTCTGATTTTGTTGTATAGCAACATTTTTTTTTAAGCTGAAGATAGGTTCTATGTGTTAAAACTTGTGCTGTGTCGTATATAAAGAAATTATTCCAGTTTTTAGAATGGGGAGGTGCTCTTTTTTTTAATAGGAGCTAGTTCACGTCAGTATTATAAAACATAATGGTGTTCTTGTGGGTTTTTTCAGTTCCTTCTAACTTTAGTAAAAGTACTGTTTTCCTTAATAGGGTTTCATTGCATTTTCTTTGTGTGCTCTTTTCTATTCTGGTTTACATTCTGTAATTGTA